CACGCCTTCGAAGAACGCAGTCGAGGCAGAGAGAGATCATGCCGACATAGGTTACCTCTCTGTGGCACTGTAGGCAGCGACGAAGCGCGCCACAACAGTCCACAGCGCATGCATGGCAGGCAGCGTATGATCGCGCCAGATCCAAGCAGCGGTTGCACATCAATAACGATGGCAAAAGATCCAGGTGAGCTGCGAGCTTACAAATCGCAGCACGCAATGAGCGGCGCAGATTCTGCAGCGTCGAGCAGGGCTCATAACCTGTTGAACCCGGGGGGCGAAGGCCTCTCCCACGGGTGGCAACGACAGCAGATAGCCTGCAACTCACCTAGAAGGGTTGGTTGATTGTAAGAGGCTTGTAAGAGCGATGAGAGGAGATGTTCGAGTGAACTGAACTGTAGATTGGGGGTACAGAGGTCCCCTATATATACTACTGTACATCTGTGGCTACATAGTACTATACAGTACCTTCCCAGGATGCACGGTCGCACAGAGAAGCAGTGCCTACACAGCAAAGCTGTGCGTGTACCACATGAGTAGTACAGCCTCGGTTATTGCAGTAACCGGCTGTGCCGTTCCATATCTTGTGACGGCTGTATTAGGCAAGCTGTGTAAACCAGCGCCTGTTCAACAACCGAGACATCCTGCTCGGATGCTCATTTACCTGGGTAACAGACCACAAAGGGTTAGTACATCTGCTCAACCAGCGGAATCTGTCTGGGCGGCAAGCACGCTGGCTGGAGAAGATATCCGAGTACGATTTTAGGATCGAGTACGTACCAGGAGTGGACAACGTCTTGGCTGATGCGCTATCCAGAATCTACTCAAATGACCAACCGGGCACGGTGCGGGTGCCGTCAGAATACACTCAGCATGACGACGCAGCGAACGTACCTATTACGCTCTCTACCAACGCGGTCTCGGTGCCCCTCCTAGTCGACCTGGAAGGGCATGCAGCCACCACCCTATCAGACACAAGCCATAGGCGTTCGGAAAGACTAAAAACCGCCGCTCGAGGCCGCAATGAAGGTATTGCGAGCACGGTCGGGTCGAGGCTGGAGGGCGCGTCGCGGCGAAGCCGAGCACTTCGACAACCACGTGATCGCGTTCAGAGTTCGCGCTCATTTCCCGACGCGGTGTCGACAGTCGGAAACACAGTCTGGAGGACAAGCAAGACGGTGAATACGGGACTAAACAGTGTCGCCCACTCTGAGGAGTCTGCTGGCAACCAGCGGGAGACGCCTGCACTGCCGAAAAGGCAACGGCCATGCCAACAACAGCGGGAGAAGCTGTCAACGCCAGTGCCTGAAACCGGGCGTCCCGAAACCTCCAAAGAATTCGCCGCTCGCATGAAGCGTGTCGTTCTCCACCCACCTCGCGCAGAACGACAGGAGGGCGTGGGTGCCCAGCTAACTTCTCCCAGCACACCCAGCACCGAAACGGCCACCAAAACCGCTGAACAGGCGGACAGCACTCCACCATCTTCGACACTGCAGGACAGCAGTACTTCTGCTCAGCCCGCCGAGCATGTAGAACGTTCGGGAGCTCAGCTCCTAGACCACATCGCCGGTTCTCAAGACGGCATTCACCTGGAGGGCGCGTTACACAACAGATACGCTGAAGACGTGTTTTTTGCGCCAATTATTCAGAACCCGCATCAGTACAAGAATTTTTACGTTTCTAACGGTCTGGTCTTCCTTAGGGAACGGGGACGCGAGCTTCTGTGCATCCCTCGTGTCATAGTCAACGGACGTAGCACTAGGGAAATTGTAATCTCTCATGCTCACTCGCTGTTGGCGCATCTAGGACCTAGGAAGACGGCCGATCTCCTCCGCGACCACGTCTGGTGGAAGACTTTGCTTCCCAACGTACAATTCTACTGCGACTCGTGCAAGACGTGTAAACGCAGCAAGCTGGCCAATCAGAAGCCGTACGGCCTGCTTAACCCCTTGCCTGTGCCTACCTCGCCTTGGGAGGCTATTGGGATGGATTTCGTAGGGCCATTGCCCGAGTCCAAGGACCGGGATAGCACGTACGACTCCGTCACTACTGTAATAGACCTTCTGTAACGGATGCTGGACAGACACCCCTTTTGCCGCCCATTCCCCTCTCCTTGACGCCCACCTTCCTTTTTCGGACCATTTCCTTTCTTAGCCCATCCCAGTTTGGACACTGTAGATACGTTCCCACTGCCACATGCTCCGTTCCCGTGATCACCATGCTCTTGCCTTTTCTTTCTCGCCCTTTGTTCTTCCTTTGTCATCTTCACTGCCTCGCTCTCGCGCTTTGTCTTTGGTTGCTAAGCAGCCCCTCGAGTATATAAGGACCCCCTTAGGCGCTCCCTAGTCCCCATCTCGACCTCTTGGTCATTGGGACTAGGTGAGTGACCATAGCGTTGTATCTCCCTTCAATTGCTAATGCATAACTTGGTCATTGGGACTAGTCTGTCGCTCTCTGCGTGAAGACTAGCTTTCGTAGGTCTCGTACCTTCGTGCCGGCCTCCGCTCTGCCCTCGTCGAGTTTTCTGTCACGTTTATCCCTCTCCCTCTCTCTTTCCCCTTTCGGCTCCTTGCCGCTCACCTGCGGGGTCGTCGCCGAATGTCGACCCGAGTCTACGCGCCTAGTCGCCGCGACATTAGGTCGAGATCTCTCCCCCGGTGCTGACGCTCTGAACAAGAGCGTCCCCGCCGCCGCTACATTGTCTCCCCCACCCTGGACTGCACCGGCAGACTTCACGCGTGGGACACAGAAGACCAAGACCACTGTCACCGACGGAAGGACCTAGACGACGGACTCTGGTACTGGGTACCGTGCGAGCAAAACCCCTGCCCGAACCATCATCACCGTCCTGCGCGGATCAACTGGAACGCCTTTATGGACGAGTTCATCCCAGTCCCTGACTCCCCCACCGCTGAGTCACCCACGACTCGATCCCCCATCCCCGGCACTCCAACCGACGAGCTCGAAGTAGCGCTACTCATCGCGCTTCCCCCATCTCCTATCATCCCCCCAACCCGTCCACCGTCTGCTCCACCCATCATGGGACAACAAGGCGGACAACCGCAGACGACAGGCCCCGCCAACAACCCCCAGCAGACCCAACCAGGCACCCAGACGGCGACGCAACCTCCGGACCCCATGGCGATGCTCGTCCAGTCGATGACCCTCCTCACCCAGTCGATGGCCCAGCTCGCCGCCTCGACCACAGGGACCAACAGTCTGAAAGCGGTCCAGAAGCCCTCCCCCTTCAAAGGAGAACAGGGCGGCGCAGCACGACGCTTCCTAGCGGCCTTCACCCTCTGGGCCATGTCCCAAGGTTCGACGCTGAACCATGTGGACAACTTGGGCAACGCGATCAGCGCGCGCGAGGACCAATGGATTCGCGCTGTCCTCTCGTTCATGCAGGATGGTGC